CTTGGCTTTTCCTTTTGGCATTGGGCAAGGATGGTAAGAGAATCTCCTTGGTAAGGTACGTGAATTGAAGATTCCCAATCATCTATACATTGTAGCTGTTGGTATTTTTTTTTCTTTAAAATATGTTTTTCCTTATTGATATATGCCATCCAGCAGCCTAGCTAGGTATCTATGTACAATAAACAAGTAAATAAATAGGTGTTTACCTTGATTTTCCTTCAAGAATTCAAGTACCCCTTCCCACCCATTTTTTTGTCACAACATGGGAAGCAGGCTGGGCTGAGAGTGACCTGAATTCGCTCAGCAAGATTTCTTGGATGAAAATGAAGCTGAATCTAGGCCTTCCTGGCATCAATTCCTACATCTCAACCACTACGTGCTGATAAATTTCTTGCATTGACCAACCCTTAGAAAAATTGACATATTGCCCGGAAAAGACATTGTGCCAGAGAATTAAGAGGAAAATTAAATGGTAGGGAGCACACTTATGGACTGTTGCAGCATGACACCATTTTGCTAGGATGGGCTTAGAGCCCTACAGATAGTACTTTGCAATTATAAAAACCAAAATCCCACCAAAATAGGACATAAAGTGATCTTTATAAATCTCTTGGCATCCCAAACTACTTTATAACCTACCATGGGTAGGTGAGATTTACTTCCAAATAAACATGCCTGACTACAATTTCAATGCTTCTCCTGGATATGTAATTGTCAATAACCACAATAAATAATGAGGTGGAGCAAGGCATTTGTTAGGTCTACATGCTGTCATATTTTCTTCTTGAAGGAATGCCACAAAATTGTCCATTAGGATCTTCAATTACATGCCTTAACTTACACAATAAGTTAAGACTTTGGCAAATGAGTTGCTATCAAAATAAGCGACACTACACGTCCTAGATAAGTGGTCTCATCCAAGAGTATAAGGCAGGTAAATGGATGAATACAGCATATGTGGGGGGGATGGCAACCAACATTAGTTCCCAAACCTCATTTTGACAACTCCCGGGCTCTTTTTCATTTTATTTATTGAAAACTGCTGCCAGTTTCCCATCATTTTCAGCACACAACAGTAGCAGTGGAAGCCATAGGATAGATAAATAAAACATTTAATGAAGTTTACAATCAAACTTCCACTACGCTCCTTTCACACCTCCCCTCTCCATCAATCTCACCACTGCAGAAAAACTGAAAACAGCACTTCTAGGCATCTATGTAAAGCAGATTCACCAATGGTGGGATTCAATTTTTTTAAACTAGCGGTTCTGTGGGCGTGGCAGGGGAAGGATACTGTAAAATCTCCAGTCAGAGGTGGTATTTGCTGGTTCTCCGAACTACTCAAATTTTCTGCTACCGGTTCTCCAGAACTGGTCAGAACCTGGTGAATACCACCTCTGAGACTCATCCATTTATATAATATATAATTGTTCTCAAACAGATTAGGGCCCCACACATCTCAACATCGCAGAAACACAGCTCTAGATGACTGCTAATTATGATGATGATAGTATACTAGTTGCAAGTGAACAAGATACTGCTGCACCCACCAGGCAATGTGCTTCCTAAAGGCCTCTTGATATCATTTATAACAGAATAAAACCATTCTATGTTAATCTTGAAATATGAGAAAGCTACAACTCCCCACTCTGGGTATCTTGGTTGGGCGTGTATTTTAGTTGTAAGAATAATTTATACTTCAGGATTTACAAACTGTGAGGCAGGTTCCACTTCACTCATCCCACGAGGCTGTCACTTTTTGCTGGTATGGTGCGTGCACAAAATACGGAGGACAATGGCTTGTTTTTTTTATGAGCCACTTTTAATTTTAACAAGGATTTACCCTCCACCCCCACACAGCTCTGCTCACCCAACACCTAGGTTTTAATCAGTCTGGCACATACATCATTTTAAGCCTTGTACATTATACCAAAATAGTGATTAAATATATAACAGAACAAAAATTTTCACTTCAGGACCAAACTAATAAGCAAACCTCACTCACAGCTCAGCTTGTATTTTAATAATTAACAAGCTCTGAGCTGTCATTCCTTATCACTTTACAGTGCAAAGGATGAAGGATAATCTGCGGGGTTAAGATCCAGATATAATACCTCTTCCAGTTTGCCTATTTACATGCAAGTTCTACAGCCACTTCAGTTTTGCCAGCTGCTTTTTGTTTAGGCAAATTGTCAGATTTGTGGCAATACACTCTGCACATACCACCACATTTGCTTTGCGATGGAAATTAACAGAATGTAACCAACCAACTCAAGAGTGCTAGTGAAATGAATTATCACCCTTAGCAATAGGTACTTTATAGGTTTTAATGGGTGGATTCAGAACTCTGGATAGCTATATAGATAATGTTGGTGTGCCTCAATATGATGCTTCAATAAATGAGAAATAACAATTTAGACCCATTCTTCCTGCCAACAGTTGGTTCAAGAGATATATTGTCATGGAACTGTACCCTATCTAGATGTACATGAATCAATCCTATGTGAGAACAGCAGACATAATCAAGGAGCACTCTGCATTTTTCTGTTGAATAAGGCGGTTTTATCTAGACATTTAAGTCCAAAAACATATTGGGATACAGAAGCAGAGGAAAAAAACGGAATTTTAAAAAAGCAAAGGACATCAGAAAATAGAAGTAACCCCCAAATTTTAAGGTGGTTAATTTGAACCAAATGTTTCAATACTCCTAATAATTTTGAGTGCATGGATACTAGCTAAGCCATAGGAAGAATTTGCTGCATTCTGTATTATCTAAAATCTTGTTCCACATTCATTCATGTTTAGTTTTCTGGATGCCCAGGTTATTCTTACTCATCATCCTAACCTCAACCTTATTAATGAGAGACTTCTATAAGTATCAGCAGGCTTTTAATCAGGTGTTACTGATCTTTCAGAACCCAGAGATGATAATGAAAATGAGATGCTCACCATAGATGATATTTGGGCTAAGAAAAGGAAGATGTCAGAAAAGCCGTATGTCTTCACCTCTGAAATGTCTCAACAGGCAACAATAAAATTAGAATAATAGCAGGACTTCTTTATCTATCAGCATCATTTTCTTCAAACAGGTTCATTTTGAAGTACTGCATTTTGTATCAGTTGTAGATTACAAAGTCTTTCTTTCTGCCATAAGAGCCAGTTGTGCTTAGAGCAAGAGATGAAACATCAGTTGTTTTTGAGATGCTTGGATGTATTACTCACTATTAGAGTACCTCCACAAGCACAGCAAGTGTTAAACAGAGAAAGATAAATGTAGCACAGAATAAGAAGAACATCTTAAAGCTGTCTGCCAGACAAATGCTTAAAACGAACTAACTCCATCAATGCTCCAAGCAAGCCTGGAAACACACAGTCATACGACATAATTCCCGAAGCAGTCTGGAATATGTTACCAGATAGAACTTACTTCTTGAACACTAGAATAATCACTCTATAGTTTGGCCCAAGGAACGGTAACCAAGATTTTTAATAATTCTACACTCACACCTGAAATTCTACAAAAGGCTAGTCATTCAGTAATGATCACTAACCAAAACCCAGTCACTGCTGTCCTCGCCCTCCCTCCCTTGAGCAAAAACAGGGAGTGCTGAGAGAAACCCAGAAAAAACATTAGGTTCAGTATCTACCTCAAGAAACCACAATAGGAAGTCTTTATTGAAAGCATAACTCCAATGGCCAACTCTGAATAAAACTGATTATGACTAGAAGCAGTAACTGGCTGGCTTTTCCTGCTCTTGGTCTGAGTCATGGCAAGCAAACAAATTTATCCATCTGATTAAGGTGTTGTTATTCTCTGACAGTATTAAAGCAACCAGAACTCTTGTGTTGTCTGTCTTGTTAAATTGGAAGATCCACCCAACACTGAATGAATGGGGAATTGCTTCCACACTGCCATCCTCAGAATGAAGGCTATTTCTCACAGTAATTCATCCGCAGTTCCTCATCCCATCACATGGCATACCCAGTGACTTTCTACCTTTCCTTCATGTTTCACAATGTCTTCAAACAGTCCAAATGACTTCATATTGCTTGTTAACTTCCAGGGCAAAACAAAACCTTTTCCAAAGCTTAGCACTAGAGAAAAGAAGAATGGGAGAAAAAAATCATTTATCTGTGCTACCATAAAAAATATAGGAGACATGTGTTTTCTTTTGGGCTAAGTAAGAAAATTGTCCCATGAAACATTTGCACCTGAGCCTCTAGATGATTCAGGTTGGCAAATAAAACATTTTGATTCATTAACACAGGGTATTTTAGAAGGTACGTGAGGGATTTGCTGTTTGAAGATTTTTATTCTATATTTTTGATCAGCCTTATTTCCTGTTGGTGAAAAACTGGAAAGTCAGTTTTCTAATTTAGAAATTCCCCTGCTATGGAAGTTGTCCAGATAACTAGTTGTTTTTCTTTCCAACAGGCTAGTTTCCAGGTGCACAAGACAGCCTCTACAATCAGAAGCAAGGTTTAATTATTGTATGTATTTTCCTTGAACTTCTTGACTATATCTAGAAAACATTGTTAACAAATAAACAGCACATTCACTTGTGCTCAAAGAAAAGAAGGTATGTGTATAGGCACGTGCAGAATGATGAATTTATATGGCATTACCTGCAAACACATGCACACACGCCCCCTCATACTTGCAGATTACAAACAAGTATGAGTATGCATATTCATACATGGAAACACATATGAGGATGTATATTGTTTATCCACAAATATGTGAGATAAACCCATACACTTCACAACAAAACTAGGAATGTGCAAATTGTTCTGAAGACAGGATGGTTGGAGGAATGGTCCCAATCCCTTCTCCAAGCCACACAAATTTGGCAGCTTCAAAAGTGGCCCAGCAGTTTCCCTAGAAGTAGGAAAACTCCCAGAAGTAGGAAGTGGTCTTTTTCAAAGTAAATTTTCTAGAATAAGAAGTAGTTTGAACCACTGTCCTGAAGATTTAAAACTGTCCTGAAGAACTACTGTCCTGAAGATTTACAACCAGAAAGTTGTGGAACCAAAAATTCTAGAATGTCCAGATTGGCATGATCCAGAGGAGCAAAAGAAGATGCTGGAAACACAATGTTTGCACATACCTAAATGAAACATCATAATCCAGTAAAATACTTTTGATACTGATATACTGTATTGACGGAGGGAGGGAGGGAGGGAGGGAGGGAGGGAGGGAAGGAAGGAAGGAAGGTTATCATAACAAATAAACTCTGGGGATAGAACATAGCATACTAATAACTATATGCTGTCTCCTCATTTCACTGTACCCCTGTTGTTTGATAGTGTTTGACACAGCAATTGCATTAATGATGTTGTCTAATGTCTAATTTAGCCTTAATTGGGAGCACAAAAGTTTGGCTAGAGCTACAGACATGAACAGGCATATAAGCACTAGATATTCAAGCATGTCTGAGGAAATGGGAATGCATAGGAGCCCTGCACAAATAAAGCTAAAATGAGACAGTTGGAAGATTTTCATTCAAATAATTCCATGTTACACTCCAAGCTTCTGATGCACAGTATTGATTTGGTTTGTTAAATTAAATCAAAATTCGGAGCATATGAATGTAGATTTAAGCATCAGGAAATAAAAAACTAAACTGGGAATTGAGACTTTAGAAACAACACAGCACAAAAGAAGGAATCAGTTGTGATTGTTGGGGGAAAGGGGACTAAATGGCCTTATGGACCACAAAACTCAAAAAGATTGTAACACTGCATTCCATGAATGACCCTCCCAGGCTGTCAATGCTCAGAGCAAGGCAGGTCTGAAGGTGGCTAAATTTTGAACTCCCCTACCTACTGTGTGGACAAAAATCCATTAAGAAAGAGAGTGAACCATCAATCTCTAGTAAGAGGATGCAATCAAGAGAACCAAGAACGCTGAAGAGGAGCAAAATATTTCAATACTTTATCCCTAGTACACAGATATTGATATTTTCTTCAACTCTGCTGTCTCAATGCTTCCTCAAGCTACAACAATGAAACTGTGGGGATTCCAACTATTGCCACATTTCTCAACTATTGATTCCTCAGTAAAAGAGCTTTCACTAGAGATTCAGAAGTGACGCATTTGGTTCAATACTTCAGAATACCATCTTTATGGAGACCTCTTTGTTCTGACCAAACATTCAAAACTATTGCCAGTGCAAAATGATTAAACACTGTCATTTCATCCTAATGTAAGAGGTGCTTTGGAATCATGTTGGAAGAACTCAACTTCACCAAGTCATAATATATAATAACTTTCAGCTGTGCTTCGCACACTGGCTCAAATTCTCTGTGGTTACTATAGTACCTGAGTCTTCTGAACAGCACGGAACAGATCGATCTTTTCCTACATTCAGTTGCTACCACACCACAGGAGTGAAGGAATGGTAGTGGCACAGGCAACTGGGTCATCTACTGATCACTGGCTTACTTTGCAATTCCTCATTCTCAAACAGCCTGCTTCCCAAGACTGCAGAAAAAGGGCACCATTAATACTAACAGCGATGGATTTTTCTTTCTGATGGACACTTTCACATAGGAAACTAGAGAAGGAATATGGTTCCCAAAATATTAAATGTAACTATCAAGGACTTGGTTTATTTATACCATGGAAACCCAAAAGAGAAAGAAACGGCACCAATAACAGAGGGAAATGGAGCAGAAACACGTGACTAATTGGGATTACACTAACCTGCACATAATCCACTACCTTTCCAAGGGCACTATTGTATTATAATAAGAATTCATATGCTGCATTTATGATAGAAACATGTAAGAAAGTGTGCACTAGTCTCTTTCAATAATAAGTGCTACAGTTCTTTGGTCTTAATTGATACAGCAACAAATTGAGTGTGCATGTTACAGAAAAGCAGCCAATTGGAAATCAAACAAGATAGAATGCAGGAAGAATTTAACAGATGCCAAGTCCAGGGGTAGTCTATGTAAAATCTTATATTTACTGGTTCAAACAGAACTCACCACCAACACTACATCCCCTCTCACTTTCAATTTCCTATTGCAGCACACTTCCTTAAGTCTGGGTATAAAATGTGATTATATTCATTGTTCTACTGAATATAATTTCCTCTCCTTTATATTACTCTCCAAATATTTGTTTGCAGACAAAATGTAGCAAGCTCTCAACATGGATCAGTAACCAATTTTTTTTGGACTGGACGGAAAAGAATCAAGAACTATTATCAGTTTCTCTTTTCAGTCCCTAAAACGTAAGTAAACATATCTTTATTCTTCGCCCCTTTTTTCTTCTGGGGCGAGAGGCTCCTTGGTCCACTTGACTTGGGTGGGGTCTCGGTCTTCTGCAGAACCAAGGTCACATAACAGACCTGCCATTCCGTCACCATTGCCTTCCATGTCCAATTCTTCAAAGGAGGAACCACTGGCCCCCGATTCACTGTAGCTATGCTCACTGCGATTGTCTGCCTCATCTCGACTGTGGCCAGATGCAAAAGGAGATAAGATGGAGGTAGCCACCGAAGTCTCACTGATGTCAGTTGTAGCTTCAACGCTGACGGAACTTGTCTCACTCATGGTGTCCACACCTTTATTTGAAATTAAAAGAGAAAGTTAACACCAAACGGAGACAATAAATTTAGAAACCATCATTCTGTGTCTACAGCAATCATTCACCTTTGCATTTTGAAGGTAGTTTAAATTCTCCAGTCATTAAGATAACAACCGCAGTAATCCATTACACTAAAAAGTATCTAATATGTCTTCGGTCTCCATTATAAGAACATGGGGAAATGTTACATTGCTGTTCCACAAGATACATTGGGTTGCCAGTTTATGTCTGTGTCCAATTCAACATATTGGTTGTCATCTGTGAGGCCATTCAGGGCATGGGTCCAGGTTATCTGATGAACCAGCTCATTCCAACGGGATGAGCTCACTCCACCCATGCTGGCAGAAGAGGCATGCTGCGGACCCCATCATTTAAGGAATTCCAGCTATGTCCTATGGTTCTTTATTTGACTTGTCTGCCACCCATCTCACCTAGATTACCTTTTGAAATAGGGAGAAGAGTTTTCTGCCATGGTGCCTGCCCTCTGGAATGTCTTCTCCACACCACCACCACTGTCCTGAGGTGAGATCCATACCCTCCCTTCTGTCCTTACGAAAGGGCCTGATGACCTATCTCTGTCAACTGCCCTGTAGCCTCAATAGGAGAGTGGCACCTTGGTGGTGGTTAATGGGTTAGTCAGACCGCGCCTCCTCTCCACATGCACTTTGCTCCCTTCCTTTCAATCTTGATTAACTGGGTTTTAAATGTATGGTTCTTATTGTTTCCCTCAGCGAGGTGTTTAATACGAAGTAATAAAATACATATAAGTAGCAAAACCTCAAATTTTGTCTTATCGTTTTATTTAATTCTTATATAAAATGAAAATATTTCTGGGATCACTTCCTATGAATTCACGACTCTTACACTCAGGGTTCTCACTGGATCTATAAGCACAAACCTAAGGATAATCATTCCGGGGGACCACTGGCTATAAAAAATGATATAATTTTCAGCCAGATATGTGAATGTCAAGATAGCACTTAACTATGTTTAAATGCTCTAAATTCCCCCAAATTGAGACTACAAAAGTGATGAATATATTTACATAAACCTTTTTTTTAATGAGCAACAGAATGTGATTAAAGACATATATCTAAAAGAAGATAGGTACAATTATTGTCCTATATATTCATGCCAAATTTACTCAAAAGGCAGACAATCACAAATTTAAGATATATCCTATAAACGAAGGAAAAAAGAAAGGAAAATATTTTAATAAATATTAATTAAAATGCATTGCCTACAAAAATAAAGCACACAATTCATAATCTTGATTGATTCTACTTTTGTATCTACCAACTATTCCCTCTTACTTATAGAGATGCACACAATTTCACATAGACAAATTCCCGTTCCACCTTTCAACAGGAACAGCAAAGGAGGAGGAAGAGGAACATGTGATGAATATGAAGCAAATAGATGAAACAACTGAACAAGGGAGGGGATGAAAAAGAATCCTATTCAGACACTATAAATGTAAAGTCTTTTACTGTGTTCCTTTCTTGATCACTGATTGGACACAGATAGATAGCTTTTTTGGCAGCGATACTTTTGTTTTTCAACTTCCCAATCTAGTTTATAGTATGATGTTTTTGATGGTTCCCCCACCTAATTACTAATTGAACCTATGTGAGCTTTAGGCAAACTAAGGTTGGCTAAATACTACTACCTACTTAACACAAACACTATAAAAGGGTTATTGATTTTCTGAATAATGCAAATTCAAGTTCAATGCAGCAAACAAGGACTATCACCAAGGGGATAAAAGACTAAAGTCAAGTATAATAATGAAAGAATTGGGGGAGAAACATTGTGACACCCACTTCTCTTAGTGCCCTCTAAGGACAGGCTTATTTTGCTCAATGGCTAATCTATTCTCAATGGAAATGGAGGCTGTGACTTCTAGTTTTGCTTTAGGTATGAAAGCCAGATGGATAGCTTCAGATCAGATGCTCTACCTCAGCCCAAGCCATCTCACAGGGTTGTTGTTGTTGAGAAAACAGGAGATGGGAGCAATTAAGTGTTTAGGCTGCGTTGAGTTGATCAAAAATAAAGACAGGATATAAAGCTAATAAATAAATACATTAAGGTTCAGGGAATTCAAGGATTTACCTAATCTCTACTGAGATAAAAACCAAGGTGTTAAATTTAATTAAACCCCATTTAATAATTAATGTAATACTCTCATCAAAATTAATACACAATACAAATATGTCCTTTATTAATCCTTTTGGTCACTTTTCCAACCTAAGGATGTTTATCCAAGACTGGTCTGATAGTAAATTCAAATTTTGATGTACTCCATGCTTGAAGTGTAAAAAAATACTATTTGTCAGGCTCTATATCTTGGTTATGGTTATCTCCAATTGTCAGTCTAATACCAGACACCATATTTGGCTCGCCCAAATTTTTCTGCTTCAGAGCAAACATCAATGGTGGAATTCATTTTGACTGCCTACTACTGGAAATTTTCTCAAGCAAGTCTCTTTGATTTATTTGAAGATCTAACAAAAACCTGTTAGATACACAAAGAAATAAGGCAGGGATGTCCATCATTTCCTCTCTCGTTTATTTTGGTTCTTGAAATACTGAATAGAAATATAAGACAAAATGAGAGAATTGTGGAAGTAAAGGTTTAAAAAGCAAGTTATAAGTTAAGGGCTTTTGCAGATAACTTCGTGGTGGAAAATCGTTTGAACAGAATTAAAATAATAATGGGAAGATTAAAAGAATTTGATATATTAGCAGGATTTAAGACTAATAAACAGAAGACAATATTAACAAAATATAAGAACAAAAGCTCAAACAGAATAAATAAAATGGTTTTTAACACAGAGAAGAAGAACATGGAATGAAATTGGAAAAGAACATGTTAAGATTGGAAAAACTACAAGTCATTGCTGGGGCGAATTTCTGTGACAAATATGAAAGTCTTACTTAGAATGATGTTTTTATTTGGACAGTGTTTGTTTTGACAACTGATGCATCATTTAAACAGTGGCAGAATATATCTAAATTTGCATGACAGAAGAAAAACATGATTTAAATATAAGGTTTTGCATAATGCAAAGAAAGAAAGGATTGAATCAACCTGATTTAAAATTGTAATATGCAGGTTGCAATTTGGTTTGGATGAAAGAGTGGGTGCTGCTGAGAAATAGAAAGCTCTTGGAATCAGAAGGACATGACCTGAGATTTGTGGTATAAAAAAGTCAAGGTTAATATGGATTTTAAAAATCATTATGTTAGGCAAGCCATACTGAGAATAAGGAATAATAATAATAATAAACCCAAGTTGTGCCCAAGTCACTTTTGCAGCTTTCAGTACAAAAAGCGTTTTATACTCAAGAAATAATAAGCAAACACAAATCACTTATTGTGACATATTAGAATCTGTCAAGAATGCCAAATAAAATCAAGAGAACTGGTAGCAGAGGAACATAGTTGTCAATTGTTCCCTTATTTACAGTTATTAGAAAGATTTAAAGTAGATAAAAGAGTTTCTGGTTTTCAGCCTTGTAAGACTGGGTTTGAAATGGAAATATGTACAAATATGTACAAGCATGTAATTGCTAAAACATATAGACTTAATTGAAATTTGAAATAGAAGAACAAGTAAAAAAAGTTGGTTATAAAATAAAGATGGAATAATGGTAAAATATATGGCTGAAAGGATTGTAATTTACAATATGTTATAATCTTAAAGATAATTTTTATAAAGTGATGTGCTGTTGGTAAGTGTCATGCCCCTGTCAGAATCTGCTTCCGAGGGGGAGGCCAAGCAGCTGACAGGGAATGGGAGTGTGGCTCTGTTGGCTGTGGAAGAAACTGGGGAAGGGCAAAGGCTGGCTGGGCAGAGCAGGGGAGAGGTAGAGCAAGGCAGAGGGAATTCAGAGGAAGATCCAGGCCCACCCCCTCTTCATCCTAGGGCACGCAGGGAGGAACGGAGAAGGGAGCAACGTGAGTTGCATGGCATACAGGGGAGGAAAGGGCCCCGATTCTGTTCATTAGCTGCAGCTGGGAACACAGTATTTAAAAAGGGAGGTTGCGCACAGCAAATGCTTGAGAGCAAATTGTGAGTTATTTGGTATTGTCGAGGCTTATCTGGGGTCCTGGCATCTTCCCAATTGTGTGTGTTTCGCTGACCTTTCAAGTTTGCAATTCCTTATCCTGTCCTGTCAAGTTAATTACTGCAGTGTTGTTTGTGTGGATTTTTATTTACAGTTTGTATGTACTTTGTTTTCAGACTGAATTTCCTCCATTTGAAGACTGTTCTTGGGAGAGTTTTTTTCTCCAGCCGAAGGTAACCTGGACATTGGGGGCAAAGTTGGAAGTAGTAAAGGGACTCTTCTTACTTATGTGACTGTGTTGCTTTTGTGCCACACCCTGGGCCATCACAGTATATGTCATCATTTGTATAAAACAACTAAAAAAATCTGGATTCAGATACACACACTGATTCAAAGGATTTTAATATTTTGCTTTTAGGACTGATGAACAAATGGTTAGAAAAAAGTCATAAAACTTTGGGTTTTTTACATGATAACTGCAGCAGAATTATTGTATGGATAAAAATGGAAAGATTGGACATTACCCACAATGAAGGTACGGCTGGTGAAAATGATGAAACTTGCTGAACTGCTTAAATTGATGTTTTTGATCAGAGCAAAGACATCTACATTTATTGTTCCTTACCAGTGGTGGTATTCAGCCTAACCGGTAGCAAGAATTTGGTGTGGGTCGCTGAACCAGTAGTAACTTCTGGCTGGCCACGCCTCAAACCTGGTCACCCTCCCACCGATGCTTGCTTGTCTACCCACCTGACATTCGCCTAAGGTATTTCATCCTCCCCCCCGACAATCAGCTGTGCATAGATCAGCTGTGCCAGGATTCCCCTTGCTGAGGCCCAGGAAGGCAAACATGGAGGGAGGAGCTGAGCCCCCCTTCCATTTTTTTGCCTTCCAGAGCCCCAGAGGA